GGTCGTTCGTGACATTCAAATCTCTTTGCCTCTTTATATCTTTTCTTTATATAGCATAACACAATTGATGTTAAAATTCATAATCACATAATTTTACTACACTTGCATATTAGTTTCCATTCTTATATCATTATTTTTATTGTACATATGCTATTACACAATGATGTATGAGTTATTACACAATGATTTCTTGATTTGATTAGTGATTTCTTGAATAGTTAACAAATTTTTAAATAAATCGAAATAGAAAACTCAGCTATAACAATACTTGTATCATATATTAAGAAAATGATTGATACAATTACTTTGGTACAGTATCTATATTGCAATACATAGAGCCCCTGACACCATGTGCCTTGGATGGTGATGTACCATAAGATTAATGATAGACTTATAGATCTTAGAACAGTACTCCATTATGCAAACTGTTGCTTTAAAAATGCCACTGACACAGTGCTAGTTTAAATGGACTTCTCAATTATTCTGTGCTCTGTTAACAGGAGTTCCACGAATGTAAATGATAAGGGGCAAAATTTGAACATGAAGAATACTTTCAAAATTAAGCAAACTGATCCCAATTCTATGCTCTGCGAATGCGTAACATTTTTCTATAGTATAAAATTAAATTATTCAATGGGATCGGTTATTTATTTAAAATTTATTAAAAAATATATAACTATAATTTTAAAACTTAAAATCTAGAATATAGTCTTCAAGTAAACACTCAATTGGCACCAATTTCGAGGAATTACGACTAAGAACAGTTAATCAATAAAGATATTTATTTATCCATAGATAAAAAGGAAAAAGTAATATATATATATATATGCATGCTTAGTTGCATATGTGCACTGTTGACTAAGCTGAGGCTATGATGTGGCCAATCCTCCTCATAGCCTCCATAGCTACTGAATGAAAAAAAAGTGAGATATTTTAAAATTTATTTTATTTATCAAAATTCTAAAACTGCTGTACATTTTAAGTATGTACAATTAAAAAAAAAATTAATTTTAAATTATTTTAACTGGAATATAAAATGAATCATTTTTATGAAGAATTTAGATTTCATTTTTTGGTTTGTTCCATTTAAAAGAAAGGACATTTTTTTGTAGCATTTATTTCCTCACGTAGATATGTAGGACATCAAGGACAACTATGCAATGGGTCATTATATTGACAAGAACAGTAATTTATCTATTTTGTTATCGTTTATTAGCAGAAGAGAATGAATTTTTGAAATTTTTTTTAATGTTAAACAGCCTTTTATTAAAAATGATGATTAAAATTTTTCCTAATAATTCATATTTTATGTAAAAACATATTTGAATTTTTTATGTTTTGAAAACTAAGATGCTTGCAAGTTAGATCATCTCCTAATGTTATTTATTGATATATACAGGGTGTTTATAAATAAATGGTGCGGTTTTAAAAATTAATAATAAAAATATTTATTACCTTATATGGGCTAACCTTACAGCATAAGCAGCTGCAACTGTCCAAGTTTATGTACCATCAATGCCTGTGTCCCTTGAGGATGCACTGCATACCATCATAGAGGAAATGCTACACCACGTATGGGAAGAATTTGATTACTGTGTAGACGTGTGTTGTGTGACCATGGGTGCACATATTGAAGGATTGTGATTAATGCATAAAAAACTTGGACAGTTGCCACTGCTTATGCTGTAAGGTTTGCCCATATAAGGTAATAAATAGATTTATTATTAATTTTTAAAACCACGCCATTCATTTATAAACACCCTGTATATGTGTATATATATATATATATATAT